TTTCACAAAAAGAAATATTGCTTTTTGAGATTTTGCTGCGTCTTCCATGGTTACAAAAACAGTACTTTGAAAACGCGTCTATATCAGTCGAACACCTAAATCAGACTGAAAAATATTGCACTGGATAGTTGCATAAACATGTCAAGACTTGTCCAGCACCAATAATATTGGCTATAAGATCTACGTAATTTAATTACAGCATAATTTTCAAAACTTTGTTAACATCCCTCGTATTAATGAGTTTCCGCTGGTTTGTTGGCACATTTAACTGGGACACTCTGAGAAAAGTAAATACCAGAGGTCACAGTATGACGTTTAACATTATTCTTCTAGAACGCCTATGGAAAATGTAGATCAACAGCTTTTTTCACTAAATCCTACTGGCAAAATAGGTAAGCACCTTGCGAGGTAATTCATGTTTCCTTTCAGCTTTTAGTACCGAAATTGTCATCATGACCAATGTCATCTACTAGTAAAGCACAAAATTAACAACTCCGATTATGCCTTACTTTGTCAATTGCAAAATAACGAGCCGCCGAAGTTATTTCCGAGCGACTGCTCTACATTCTACTACCACGCCTTTGTTATAGTAAGGGGGATTCGACAGGGAAGTGGTAAGGACCGCCGGGTGCAGTGTAAGTCGCTGGTAAGGCATTGTATTTCACCCGGCGGTTCTTAGCACTTCCCTGCCGAATCCGCATTACTTTAACAAAGGCGTAGCCCCTTATGTAAGTAGGAATAACAATGTAAATACATTTGGTATCAAACATACTTCTGAGCCATTTTACAAAGTAAGGTACGTAGAATGTAGAACAGTCGATCGGAAATAACTTCGGCGGCACGTTATTTTGCAACTGACAACCCTGTCGGGAACCCGCCAAACACATATCAATGTAAAGTAAACAAACCCCCTCCTGCAGACCCTTTTTCGGTAGTTCCAAACTTGTTATAAATTCGACAGATAGGATCTAGTTCGTTCTACATCCCTTTTTCTATATTTTCGAACCAGTTCTAAATTTGTCACCTTAGACACACATAGATTTCTAATGATTTTTTTTTTTTTTATTCTTTTGGACTTATGACTATTTTGAACTTAGTAAATTTGTGTATTACCGAACAGAAACGGTTAGAAAGAAAAAAGGTAGTTCAATCTTTGGAAAAACGATTTCTTTTCAAATTTGCTTCTTGCAAAAAAATATAATTTTCAGAAAAAGTGAACTTTGCAGCCACTTTTCACTCTTAGTTAGAGATATGTATGAAATAAAATAGTTTTTTAAAAGTACCACATTTCCGTGATTTTGAACTGGTGGGAATCTAGTTATTCACTAGTCGCGTTGCTTTACTCATGATGGCATACATATTTCGTACTAAAATCTGAAAAAAAACATAGATTACCTCGTACCTATTTCCGAGCGGGCTATGTATGTTTTTAAATATTTACGGATGCACAAAGGCATTTCTACAGATGTATATACTTAGGGAACCATAACTCAGTTAATGCATACAAAGTACAAATTATTTGCGATTTTCCGAAATTTAAGTGCATTTAGTTCATAAATATTTTTCACAACTCGCATAAACTCCAATAAAAGTTCAATAAAGTGGTAGCAATGCAAAAGCGTTGACACATTTATGTAGCGCACATAAAGGCGCCCTTCCGGTGCTGCTATGCATACATCCATATGTAAGGTATATAAATATGTGTAGTATCTAGTAAGTAGGGTGGTCGACCCATTTTTGGTAAGATGGCTCTTATTAGGAGGCCGAAAAAGGGACTTTGTAAAATTTTTTTAAGTAATTTTTTTGACTCATATTTACTTTCATATGTATGTAAGTATGTACATATACATGTATATATCGTAACCTTAATATAGGAAGGACCTATCGCACAACGTCGCTGAAATACAAAAAGCCATAAGCAAGTCTTTTTCAGGTGTATTTTTTCTTAGACTTTGTTTTAAACAAATAAAAACTGTATTGGGTTGGTCAAATAAATGTCCGTCACCAGTTCCGAGTCTGTTCGATTTCTGAGTATGAGGCCTTATGTTGGACAACGGGAGGAGTATAAAGGATTGAGTCCTGGAGGAAATTAGCGCATGGTTACAGAAGATATGGAATAAATTAACCGACGGAGACTTGCCTGCCGCTTGCGCTTTTCTCTCAAAGTGTTTACCGCATGCAAACCCAAATAAAGGTTAAGATTTTAGAATTAATTAGTAAAATTAAAGGAAAATCTGTAGAAAATTAACAATAAAATTTTTTTTTTTCGCAAAATCTATAAACACCCTTTATTTTTGAAAAGGAAAACTCTGTTCTGTAACAGTTATTCGTCGCCACCCTGTAATTGTATTCGTAAATAAATAGTGAAATATGCCTATAATATTCATCCAAAGCTTTAAGTATATCTCCTAGTCTTGGAAGTTCCGTTCATTATAATACGTAGGCCGGGCGCGTCCGCAGAGGTTCTAAGTTTTTCTCAAGCCTCTACTAAGCGTTTGAGATGATTGCTCAGTAAATGATAAAACGATATTGTTAAAATTGCTGGATTAGATCTTATCTCAGCAACAGAATATCATTTGTGGAAATTGAGAACACTAAGTCTTATTCTTTCGTAGCCACATCTGGGGTTCCTCAGGGTAGTATTCTCGGACCAATTCTATTTCTTCTTTTTATTAATGATATAGGATCTTGTTTTAGGAACTCGAATTATCTGCTCTATGCAGATGACTTAAAGATTTTCAGAACCATAGCAAGCTTCTCAGATGTTGTCCTGCTACAGGACGATCTTAATAACTTAGCTAATTGGAGTATTATTAATAATTTACGCCTTAATATTAAAAAATGCTTCCATATGAAGCTTTCGAAAACCCTCAACATCCATATGTCTACTTATAAACTTTTTGATGACAACCTTTCTACTGTTAGTGAGTTTGTTGATCTTGGAGTAATGTTTGACTCAGGCTTTACATTCTCAAATCACATAAGTTTTATTTTACCAAAGGCCTATTGTAACTTGGCTTTTTTGCGGCGATATGCCAAAGACTTCAAAGATCCATACACCAGGAAAACTTTATATGAAAGCTTAGTGCGCTCGAAATTAGAATATGCATCGATAATATGGAGCCCGATTTATGCTGTTCATTCTCAGAGAATTGAAAGAGTACAAAGAAGTTTTAGCAGATTTGCTCTTCAACCGCTTCGCTTCTCTGATCCATTACCATCTTATAGTGCCCGTTGTGCCCTCATAAGCATGAAGTCACTGGCGTCCAGGCGTTCTATTCAAACTCTGATGTTTATTTATGACCTAATCTGTGGTTTGGTTAACTGTCCGGAACTTTTAGCACAAATAAATTTTAATGTCCCGCGCAGAACTCTCCGCGCGCATTATCCGTTTAATGTCAAGATAATCCGAGCTAATTACTTTAATTTTGATCCCATCTCGAGGGCTCTCGCAGAATTTAATAAAATTTTTTGTAGTCTTGATCTGGATTTCGCACTTTCGAGGTCATGTTTTGGTTCTAAACTAGCTTCATATTATATTTAATAGCATACGCATGTATCTTTTTAGTCTGTAAGATTTGTTTTTCTAGTCTGTAAGTTTTGCATTGCTAGTCTGTAAGATTTATAAAAATCATAGACTTAATAAATTGAATTGAATTGAATTGAATTGAATTGAAAAATTTTGCACATGTTCAAGACAAGAGTGCCTATTACGAAAATAGTCACCTGTACATTTTTAAGCCAATACCTTCATATCATTCAAAATCGGGCTTTTAAACCTCTAAAATTTGTGCACCCTAATTCATTCGCACATTCTTTACACAAATTTGCTCACATACACACTACTTATGCACATGATACCCCATGAAATTAAAAATGTTGATGGAGCTGTAAACTGCCACACATTACATTCTCAGGAAAGAAGCGAAAATTTGAAGGGAAAAAGTCAACCATTTGGGGGCAAGCATTTTGCATGGCGAGATCGTTTTGATCACACTTCATAAAATTAAAAGTAATTTTCTACTTCACAAGCGCACATATGGACATAATACATTAGACCGCACCACCATACATGAAAAAAAAAACGTACGCCGTACCCCGCTAAGTATTAAAGTATTTTTGCAAAGGCATTTTCATCTTCATCTTCAGCTCCACCTTCATCTTCATCTTCATATTCATCATTATCTTTATTTTTGTATTTTTTTTTTGTCTTTTTATTTATCTTCAACTTTGTCCTGTTCTTCGTCTTTATCATTGACTTGATCCTTCAATATAGGTTGTGATTGTCTGTGGTTTTGTCGTTGCCTTTGTCTTTGTTTCTGCCCTTGTCTCTTGCTCTTTGTTTCCGCCCTTGTCTCTTGCTCTTTGTATTTTAATTCCCACTACACAGTGGCGCTAAAACTTCAATGCAGCCGTCCCCTGTCTATTACAAATACGCTTATTATCCGTGAGATTAAGAAGCTTCAACGATATTCCTCTTCTTCTTTGTCGCAATAACCTTCTAAGCGGCTTTGGGTATAAAGCTCGCAAGTCGTTTTTTTGTGCCATTGCTTCAAGGAACACACAAAAATTAAATTCTATTTTCTGAGCAAAAAATAAAACTTAAAAAGTAACAATAATTTTCAGAGCAAAAAATAAAACTCAAAAAATATCCATTATATTCGGAGCAAAAAAGTTAAATTGAAAAATAACGATTACTTTCCGAGCAAAAAATAAAACTCAAAAAACAACGATTTTGAGCAAAAAATAAAACTCACTTAATAACTAAGTATGTATTGAAAAGTGATTTTTTGAATAAAATCCGAAATCGCCTTCGCAAAAAGTACTTTAGGCTCAGGGGTGTACGGTGAACTTTCTGGTGCACTCTAATGTACATACATACATACATACTAGGAAATATGCACGATTTTGTGTGAACCATTGTTTAGTTTTGTTATGCCAAAGCAAATTGCAATTTCGCCCACAATTTCCTGTTGAAAGTGAATTTAAATAGGAAATCGCTCGGGTTCATTCAAAATTTATTTGATTTGACTATTACATTAGAATTGAAGTTAAAAAATGCACTTTCAGACAATGTTCGTCATTTTACTTAATACCAAAAAAAAAAACAAAGTAAAAAATTAATTATTGAGACTTTTTTAAATTAAACCCAGCGCATCATTGCCAAAGCAATACAAAGCAATGCGATGGAAGAGCTTAAAAATGCAGCGCTATCGCGAGCCAGCGGGATTTGTTCGCTAGTAGCACTAATGAAATTGCAGCCAGGACCTTCACAAGTAAAACAATTCGTCTCGTTTACACAGAGCTTCTTTGCCTGAGCCGAAGTGAGACAGCCGCGTTGGAATGACTCAGTTGTGTTTTTACCTGTAGAGTGGTAAAAATAGGTGTTAATTGTAATTGTAATTGATGATATGAATGCAAACTTACCATCATTTCTAATGTAGCATTTATCGCCCAGCTTATAAGTCGGACATACAGTGGGTCTGATATAAGTATTTGTGGCGCAATCACCAGTTGAGTTACCCGAACATTGCAGGCACTGTGCACGACTCAGTGGGAAGATGCGACGATTGCAACCTTCGGCAAAGGTGCAAATCAAACATTCCAATTCGTTGTGGCAAGCAGTAGCTGTAGCGTTATCCAATTCAGAAGCACAGCCACGAATTGTGTTCCCATCTGAGGTGGGGAGAGAATAGAGACTTAGTGTTTGAAGGAGAATATATATATAAAATTCAAAAAAATGTGACAACTCACTAGATACTCGGGTGTAGCATACAGACGTATTGACGCTGCATGATTTGGCCAGATAGTTTTCTGGTTCGGTGGCGCATTTTGGATCAGTGGAGGAGTTGCATTGCACACAAGCATCTGAAAATAAATGATGAAAAATCGATTAATTAAATATGACCACTATAATTACATTATTCTTTACTATGGACTTCTCTATAACTCAGTTTTCTAACCTTCCTCTACAACTTTAATATGTGCTCAGGCATGTAATTAAAGTGCAAAACCGCGTATCGTAGGTACTTCAAAATCGCCTAACTGACATTAGTGCCAAAAATGAGATTTGCTCACCGAAATCTTTCCGCTTAATGCCTTCACACCAAAATATCGATATTAAAAAATTATGTAGATAACGGCATAGTTGCAAGAGCGCTTATCAAGAGAAGCATATGTATAGTTTTACTCTCTTTGGTACGTACTAGCTCGGAGGATGGTTCCGTGCGCAGAAGTGGGAAACTTTTGACTGCCGTTTACCTGGAAGTGGCCAGAAGTGATTCTTGTCCGTATATTTATATCCACGTATCCTCTGGGTAGCGACCAAACAGCCGTTAAAGCATAAACAGACGGCAGCGTTGATCCGGTTCAACTCGGGAATTAACTGCAGTTGATCCTGATTAAGTCCGAGTTAATCCGGATCATCGCTGCCATCTGTTTAGGCTTTTTAGGGAGCGAACTAAAGTGAGAAGTCGTAAAACTCCGCGTGCGTCCCCCAATGAATAACAAAAAGCAGCCTCGGATGAGACCTCCTTTTTCTGATGACGACCACGATATACGTATGATTTGAGGGTATGCACCTGGAATATCCGGACCCTTTATGGGGAAGGTGCCACTTCCCGGCTGGTTGATGACCACGGGAAGACTAAGGCTAACATCACCGCCATCCAAGGAATGCGTTGGAAGGGGCAAGGCAAGGTAAGCGTGGAGCCTTGCGACGTCTACTAAAGTTGCCACATTAAGGAGCGCAAATTCGGTGTTGAATTTGTGGTGGGAGAGAGACTCCGTCGCCGAGTACTGGCGTTCATCCCGGTGGACGAAAGTCTAGCCACAATCCGCATCAAAGCGAGATTCTTCAACATCTCGCTCATCTGCGCCCATGCCCCGACGGAAGAGAAGGATGAGGCATCCATGGATCTCTTCTATGAGCGCTTGGAGCGAACATATGAGCGCTGTCCCCTACACGATATAAAAATCGTGCTTGGCGCATTTCAATGCAAGAGTGGGCAAGCAAGGGATCTTTGGCGCCACAGTTGGAAAATTCAGCCTCCACGACGAAACTTCCGATAACGGACTGAGGCCGAACGACTTCACCGGGGCCCGAAACATGGTAATATCTAGTACTAGGTTACATCATATAATGATCCATCAAGCTACGTGGCTGTCTCCAAATCGAAAAACGAGAAACCAAATCGATCGACGAAAGGCATGCTTCGGGTAACTAACATAACTTCCACGGACTTAACTTCCATGGACAGCATTGACATAACCAGAAAAATTCCGCGAAAATCTCATGGAAGTTTTGTCATGACTTAACTTCTATAATAATTACCACAGAGGGGGAGCGTCATGCAGTGAGCGAGCGAAGCGCCCCGATTTAGAAACAAAAGTCAATTATGGTTTCAGTTCAACCATGAAAATTTATGAATTTATTTCAATGAAAACTATGTCCGTGGAAGTTATGTCGAAACCCCCCATTNCACCCGCCTCTGTGTAGCAAAAAATGTGTGGACCTCTCCGAGCCGTTTGATACCAAACGAGGTTTCAGACAAGGGGACTCCCTTTCGTGTGATTTCTTTAATCTGATGTTGGAGAAGATAATAAGAGCCGCAGAATTGAACCGCTCAGGCACAATACTTTACAAGAGCGTACAATTGCTGGCGTATGCCGACGACATCGACATTGTCGGTAAAAATAAGGGATACGTCTGTTCTGCCTTCTCGTGACTAGATAGAGAAGCTAAGCGGATGGGTCTGGTGGTCAAAGAGGACAAGACGAAGTATCTCCTGTCATCACACCAGCAGTCGGAGCATACGTCTCTTGGCACCCACGTCACAGGTTTGAAAAAGTAGACGACTTCGTTTATTTGGTAACCACCAATAATAATATCAGCCTTGAAATCCAACGGAGAATCACTCTTTCCAACAAGTGCTATTTTGTAATGAGTAGGCAATTGAAAAGTAAAATCCTCTCTCGTCGTACAAAAATCACACTCTATAAGTCACTCATCATGTCTTTCCTGGTGTATGGCGCGGAGGCATGGTGGTGCGAAAAATTTACGGGCCTTTACGCGTTGGCGATGGCGAATACAACAGACGATGGAATGATGAGCTGTATGAGCTTTACAACGATAAAAATCTAGCGGCTCCGCTGGCTAGGTCATGTCGTTCGAATTGACAGAAACGCTCCTGCTCTGAAAGTGACTTGCCTTCCCATGGCATTTCCAATTGGCGTCAGTTGGCACAGAAGAGAAACGACTAGAGTGCTTTGTTGAACTCGGCCAAAATCGCTTAGGCGGTTACGGCACCAATAAAGAGGAAGATTTATTCCTAATATTGAATAAAATGTGCAAATTTTTCTAAAATTTAAGATAGTAGAAAAATATTTTAAAACAAGTAATAAAAAAAATTAAGGCAAATTTTTTAGTGGATAGTAAAAAATGTCTTTCTTTCTAATATGAACCAAATCGGCTATCGGAAAAATGCATCTTTCGTATTGCATTGTTATCGGTTTTTGAAATTCCAAGTCTCTAGCTCATCGGGAAGTTGGTTCAGAACTGATTGCAAGATTTAATTCCAAACAGGTTAAACTTAATAAAAGCTTGTAAAAACCAGTAGCGCTATAGAACTGCCATAAATTTAGCATTTCTTTTATTTACTGAGCCTTCATTTTACCTTGCGCTTAAGTCGCGCGTATTTTGTTACGTACTAGCTATATATGTACATATATGTATGTGTGTGTGTAAGTACATACTTATTTACATATGTACATATGTATGCAATCATTAGTAAATTTGATGGCGTTTTATCTAATCTAGCACTAAGTAAACATTAGGCGCTCTACTATTATTCTTATCTGTTGTTACTGCCAAATTCACCTGGCTACAAATTTTTATATGCATTCACATGGATATGTTATTAAAACAATAATCGTATTCAGTAATTATTGCACAAAAATTTATTTTAATTGACGGCTATGTACACTTTTTACGACTATAATAAATAAATCAACTAAACTCGAAAGTTGTAGGGAAAATTAGTCCCCTTTCTAACCGACTTTAAAAAAAAGGAGGAGGTTAACAGTTCGTCGGAATATTTTTATTTTCTGTGTATGTTACTGCATAACTTTCGACCACGTCAACCGATTTTCTTTCTTTTTGCATCGGAAAGGTGGTACCTCCAGGGTGGTCCCATACTAATTGTTTAGATCCGATAATTGGATCTTGAAGAAATTAACGATAATTTTAAATTGTTTATATGAGAATTGAAGTCGGTTTTTTTTTGCTTACAAATTACTTGTTCTTTTAAGCACTGTACAGTACTCGTACTCCTTGACGTATTTTATGCTGAATTTTTCTTTCTCGTTTTATGAGTGCTTGGGAAATTTTTCACAAATTAAGGCAGATGATTTCTTTGACAACCTACTTCATGGTAAAAATCGCATAGGTTTGCCTGCCGATCGTTATGCAACCCTGAATGCCAACTATCTATCGCGGCATAACGGTATGCTACTTATGTAAGTCAGAAATATTCTCGAATCACTTAAATACGACACCGGCCGCACCCCATTGGAAATACCCTAAATACACTTTTAATCTTACATAAAGTGCGTTAAAGTACAACTTGTCTTTCTCATTACTAAGTTGCGTTAACACAGAAGTACATATATGTACATGCATTAGACTGGTTCAAAAAATTCGACTAAATATTTCTTTTTTTTCAAAATCCCTTGTAATATTATTCGAAAATGTCTTGCCGCTCTCCACGCCGCGTCACTACTATGTTCTTTGCCTTAAATTTCCTTCAAAAATGTATATCGCTCATTCCGATATAAACATATCTCAATGAGTTATAAAATTTTTCCTTTTTGGTTATTGTTGTTTCCGACAGGGTGGGTGTATGATGTATTATGGAACGAGTTATAAAATCTCAAAATGGAAACAAAATTTTCCTGTGTTATATATTTAGAAAAAAGAAATTTGCGATGAGCCACCTCTAAATATTGTCTCTTTTTTTCACTGTCCCGAAAATATTTCACAAGGAATTTTTTGAACCAGTCTAATGTGCATAAACTTGCACAAGTAAAATAAATATTGAAAGCATTGACTAACATTGAACATTGTACACAAGAACTGGACATAAAAATCACAAGATAAGATTAGCATTTACTCAACGGATTGTATTAATGGGGGAATTGGCACACATTTCCAGTATTTTTAGTCATTATGTCATTAATTTAAATTTTGTTCCGCCTTTATGCAAAAATATTTTTAATTGGGTAGATATTTCATGATTTAAAGAAAAGTTTGGTTATACGAGAACTATTTTAATTCGCCAAAAGATCTAAGAAGTATTTTATGCATTTTTGACAAAACTTCTATCTGACACTATTTATGTGCTGTAATTATGTTAATACATATGTACATACTACATATGTATAAATGTCATGTAGCTATCCAATATTTAACCGAAACAATTCTATGGATTTATTTACCCGCGTGCACATATACCAAATAGGCCACAGCCACCAAAACCAACATGTAATACTTCATTGTATTCTATTGAATTTATAATTTCACTTTTTTCCAATTCTAATTAAAATAAATATTCCGCCAAGTGCTTCTTTACTCGTTAAATGTATGTTGTTAACTGGAACTCGGCAAATGAAATAGTTATCAACACCTGTCGACTGTACATAAACATTTTATCAGCGTCGTGTTTGGAGATAACTCACCAACTACATGCATATAAGGAAGCCTATGTATGTATGTATGTATGTACACACATCTACATATATACATGTTGCATTAATGCAGTATGTTTATTTTTTATTGTAACATTTCGTATTTTATTTATATACGTACATACTATGTAGTATTTAAACAGTCCCATTTTATCATAATTATTGTAAATACATATATATATATATAGATAACGATAACAGAACTGAAGCAGCTATCAATAATACAAATATGACTACTTTCTGATATTTCTCCCATACATATTCTTTTGAAGGTCCCAACTTTCGTGAGAGATCGCTTATTGTATTTTTTTTCTAGCGTTCATAGCTCGCGCTAAAGGGTTGTGCCGCGGATATTTTAAAGCTTTGACATTTCCCAATATGGACTGTTATAGTGCCGAACAACAATGCATTTAAAATTACTTAATTATTCTAATAAAATGTTCAATCATCTGTAGCTGCAATTTCGCACATTCATTAGTGATGAGGCCTATTTCACGCTCCACGTCTATGTTAGTGACCGCCGAGAGACGTTGAAACTGTTTGGTGGTCATTGTCGGCCGACATCTTCATCACCTGCACCCCTTCAAGACCAATAAATATACCGCCATAACCGTTAAATCTAACCTTTTTGGCCAAAAACGATAGCCTCCAATTCGCGAGAAATCCCCAGTAGAGGTAATTGCGAATGCTGTGGTTTAGCCACCAAGATCCTGCGTTTTAACGCCATTGAAAAGGCCTAGTTTTTTCAAGCATTCTTAGCCTATTTTCTTATCCAATAAAAACTTGTAACGTAAACGTCCATCTTATTTTTCTATTTTTTATATTTATGTATGTACTAGCAAATTGCCCACTTGCTTGGCAGCGCCTTCAAAGTATGGGGTGGTCCCAGAAGTAACCGACCTAACAAAGAAAACACGAAAATTTTGGGAAAAAATATATATTTTTTTTCAACATAATCTCCCTGCACCTCTATACACTTTTCCCAGCGATGCTCAATAAGTTCGATACCCTTTTTATAATAAGAGCTGTCTTGCTCTTCAAAATAGCCCATTAGCTGCCGACATCATTTCTTCTTCGTTAGATAATCTTTGACCACGGAGCCATTTTTTGAAGTTGGGGAACAGAATATAGTCCGAGGGGGCTAAATCTGGCGAATAGAGTGCATGAGGTAGCAATTCAAACATTAATTCATTAATTCGCTAAACAGTCAATTGAAGCCTCTTCACGTCACTATTTTTGGTCGATAGTGAGCAAATGCGGCACCCATCTTGGACACAGCTTTCTCATTTCCAAATCTTCAGCAAATCTTATGCGCTGTGTGGTACTTTTTGAAGTGCCTATTATATTTGCTAGCTCGCGCACTTTCAGTCGACGATCATCCATTACCGCTTTGTGGTACCATTTCGCCATTCACCATTTTGTCGACCACTGCGATGCTCGTCTTGGCAGCTCGCACGGCCTCCCAATATTTTACTATTGTAAACGAAGAAGCAGACCCGCCCAAAGAAGAATCTATTTCAGCTTTTATATTGGATGGGCTGAGGCCTTTCAAATAAAAGTATTATATCACATAACGATCACAAATTTTCTTCATTTTCACAAATTCGCTGTAAGCAAAAACAAAATACAAGTAAGTATTTGTTGAATCGATACCACCTTACATGAATTCGCCTTGAATATTCGGTATTTGAATATTGAATTAATACACATTTGCGGAAAGGGCGCGATAGTAGACTTCAGTTATACAATTATAAATTAAATTCCTAGGAGAAAGTCGATACTTTACATATCTTCTAATTAACTTCTAAAAATATAATAAATAACACCCACATTAAAAAAAGAAAATATGCTTAAGAGATCGATTTTTTTTTTTAATCTTACAAGTTCTTTAAACATATTTTATAAATGAGGCCATAAGAGTTTTGGGGTTACAACACAACAATACTTTTGAGGCGCAGCAAAGCACGCCGGGTATTGCTAGTATATAAGTATCTATATAGATGCAGCTGTATGAACCTCACATCCCCTTTTTCAATAACTACCACGGTTCGCCATAAGTACAATATTGATAGCAAATGTAGCTGTTCGCATAAGCGGTTCCAGAAATAAGCGATATGAGAAGTTCAGTTTCCAATACCTGTCGCGTTTCGCTGTAAGTAGGGTATTTAAAACCTAGGCATCCGTGCATTGTGAAATTTTTCTTAATGCTGTATAAAGTCTGAAAGCTTGATTTATATGGTGTTTGTTAAAGCATGAACCATATTTTTTTTTAAATATAACAAAAAAATTTTAGCTTGAAAAACATTGTAAATATTAAAAACAAAGCATCCACTTGATTTATTTATAAAATTTTATAAAAAAATCCAAACAAATTCCCCATTTTCTTTTTAATATTTGTGTTGCTTTTTTAGCCTTTACCACTTAAGTGAATAGCCTGGTGATAATAATCAGACACTTATCAACACTTGCCATTCATTCGGCACTTGCTTATTCGTCATTCTACAATACTCAGAACTAATATAAAATGATAAAATGTCCAAACATCGCGTCATCCGTGCAAATGTGAACTTGGAAATAGTTTTCTTATTACACAGTATACCATTCATACAAATATTTACATACCTACATACATATGTATATTGAATTTAGTAACAAAGCATTTGATTCTATAATTTTGGTTCATCAAGCTATCGATGTAAGAGTATTTTGTTCCGGAAAGAATTTCGCTATCTTAGAATGAAAACTTGCTAAGTCACCTTTTTGTAGGAACTCATATTTTGATATACCAAGCAATAGAAATTAAAAATGCATCGTTTCCAAAAAGAATCAGTTTTATTTCTTCGCGTTCAAATTAAATTAAAGGCGAATTTGTTAAGTCCGAAAGACGTCAAAATGATACGATAGTAGGTGCGTTCGTTTAAAATCTCCAGCAGAAACCAACCAACTGGNTTTTTCCAGCAGAAACCAGCAGCTTCCCCTCAAAATGAAATGTCACTTTGCTCTCTCAATTTCCCCTACTTTGCAAGTTTTTTGCGTATGCGAACGCAAAAACTTGTAAGTTTTGGTTAAACATGAACAATTAACAGCTACGCGAACGAACCTATAGTCAAAATAATTCGAAATATTTTAATTAACATCGTATGGAGTTTTTCTGTGCTTAAACATGCAAAATGCTGTATTCAAAGTTTTGCAAAATACCTGCAAAATGAATATAGGGGTTTTTTTACCTCCTCTGCAAAATTCTTTTTACTCTAAGCTAGCGATTTATGCATCATTGGAACAGCCTTAAAAGCATTTTCTATGTTTTTGGTTTACCCTGTATAATTTCAAATACCGAACATTGACGACATATGTATGTATATCTATATACATTAGCGTGGACCGAAAATTCGCTTTTTTCAGAATTTTGATTGGTAATAGCAAAAATATGGTTCATTATACTCTAAAAAAAAATCTGTGTGAAAGATGAAAATTTATGGTCAACATCTTAGGCTCGCCCAAGTACATCAAAGTTCAATGTGCTCAAAAAATAAAAAATTAAAATTAATACAATAATTAATTAATAAACTTTTTTACTAAAATTGCAATTATCTTCGAAAGTACTAGTCCTACATAATTTGGTATATGGACCATTTTTCTAGAGAATCGAAAGAAGCTAAGAAAATTTTTTTTTACCACTTGAACTTTGATGAACTTGGGCGAGCCTAAGATATTGGCCAACAATTTTAATCTTGTACTCAGATTTTTTTAGAGCGTAATGAACCATACTTTTGCTATTACCAATCAAAATTCTAAAAAGGCGGATTTTCGGTCCTCGCTAATATACATACATACATATGTATGTGGTTGCTGGTCGCAATTAGGGGTGCTTGCGAAGAGGTGTTGGTTGTTGTGTAGACCCTGCCCGCATCCTGAGCAGGTGTCTGTCACTTCTGGGTTTAGTCGGGAGAGATGGCTGTTGAGTCTGTGTCACCACCTTGAACAAAGTTGGGCTAGAATGTTGTCGTTTCGGGTGCCTATGGGCCGGTTTTTCAGTGCCAGTTTAAACTTAGATTAAGTAAACTGAGTTTAAACTGAACAGCTGGCTGGCATTTGATTGGCTGATCTTAGTTTAAACCTGCCAGATCGGGCGAAACTGGCCCTAAGAAGATCTATTGTTGCTCCCATGTGGTTCAAAAGAGTTTTACACTTGCTGCCGTTTTATAATAGTCTAAGGTATTTAACACTGCCTGACTATTCGACATAATATTTAATCTGGCCCTATTTGTCCTTCGATTGCAAAAACTTCCGCCTGGAATACGGTGGGGTATGTGCCCATTGGCCGACTTTTCTGGAATCTTGGTCAAAGTACGCTAGCCCCAGTACTACTTTGGTCCATCTTCGATTCGCCGGTATACCATACTTGGGACCTTTCGTTAATCGTCATTCGCCTCACATCAGCCCCTTCCGGAGTTTTTACCTTGTAGGGTTTGGAGAAGGCTCAACTCGGGCTCTTCCAAGAATGGTTTGAGAACCTACAAAAATCTCCACTTTTCAGGCCTCTTTTACAATCAGAATAGATAAAGGGGAAATGACTGTAATTACACTAAGGGTATCCGTTGGACAGGTACGCATAGCTCTGGTGATGGCCACGCGGACCAGTCGGTGGTGCTTGCTCAAGGTGGTACCCGCGTTTACTTGCTGAGCTTTTGGCCACCAAGCCAATGTCGTATACGTAACAATGGGTTTTACAACCTTTTTGAAAGACAAATGCGTAGTTTGAGTGATAAAACGCGTCTTGGTAGCAACATTCGAGGGATGTGGGTTCTAATTGAGCCTTTTGTCCGGACTCGTATGGAAACAGACAAAATTAATGCTTCCGTGCCACATATCCGTTTCATAATTTCACAAAGTTTCACGTAATTTTTTCAAACATCATCCACGTTCCACACTTGACTGCTGAACAGCTGTTTCAATTGTTTTGTTTACATGGAAAAAGTGTGATAATTGCCAATTCAGCCGCTTCGTGTTTGATTGATAACCAAATATTTTGCGAAAAGTAATAAAATATTCGCCTTGCTATGACAATTCTAATTTGCATAAGTGACTTTGCCAAACATCAAGAATTCTTAGAGATTGATAACAACAATAACATAATAACAGTGCCAAGAAAATCACTGTGGAGGCGTGTGAAATCGTTGCGTGCATCTAACCAATCCAATGGTGGTGATTATGCACAGATAGATAACAGTGCACGTACATTGCGACGTTTATCGATAGAAATTGATGGCATCAACGCCTTCTACCTCGTGCGTGAACTACACTTGTTTACCCAATTTCGTATGCAGCTTAGCACGAATCCTGCATTACGTGACGCTGATATACTTTGGCTGCAACTCCGACCTCCAAAAAAGGAAGTTATCGACTACAAATGGTAAGTAAGCAAAACACAAATAAATATTTGAATGCAGCAGCAATCCTACATACTTATGATTGATTAAAATCGTTTGCCTTCAACCACAGGAATCGTATTCTGTCCCATACATTATGGGAGCGCATTGAGGTGGAGTATCTAATGTCATGGCTATCTACACTGGGTGGCGGTTACTCCGCTCTTGGCGAACAATTTACCAGATGTGTAAGTTTTAAAGCTTACATGTATTGCTTTGATTATTTACGAATGTACTTCTTCCACAGGCGGAGGTTGCTGGTAAAATATCTTTACGACAACTACATATTGGTCTACGAGTAGGTGATCCATTCCTTCAGGCACGGTGCAAATTGTATTACAGTATCTCACTGATACAAACCGGTCGTCTAAGACAAGCTAAATATATTATACGTGAACAATATAAATTCGCTAAAAAGCAGAAGGAAGTGGATGGACGCTTGGTAAAAATGTGCCAAGGTATTTGGTTGCGTCTGCAGTACGAGTATGGAATGCGCTTAAAAAGCATAAAGCATTCGCCAGTCTCCTACATTAGTTCAGGGGATAAGTGATATTACCATCGAGCGTTTATGATTTTTGATTTTGGTTATGCCTATGAAAAGGTATTTTACTAACACAATGTAATCTGCTTGAGTTTTGTAAATGGGTTTAAAGTTCAGTAATTGTATTAAATATTACACCAATTTAAATACATATGTATATATGTGCATCCAGGTTTGGATTACAATTTTTAAAAGAAATACCTATGAGGAAAATAATACAAACTAGAGTTGGGCACTTTAATTCTTTTAAGTGAACCGTTCCGTTGGTTGTATTTCGTCCACCTTAGTAAACTAGTTCCTTAAACAAAGTTCAATTATTTTTAATATCATACATTCTACAAACAAAACAAAAACTTAAATATTGCTGTGCAATAACATTAAATCAGACAGCTTTTTTAGAAGCATAATATTTGCAAAAAAACTCGTTAGCATGAGCTAGTTATTTAGTTCATTGAGATGACCTAGTTCATTAGTTAAAATCAAACAAGCTGTCTTATTTAATGTTATTGCACAGCAATAATAGTTCGGTTTCTTCATTGAACTAAATTTGTCAGTGCTATTTCTCATTTTTAAAATGAACTAAGGAACTAGTTCATTAAGGTGAACGAACTACAACTGAACGGTTCACTTAAAAGAAGTAAAGTGCCTAACAGGCTAACCTAATATTCGCGGCTTGCGTTTTGGTACGCACGCCGTCGAATTTGTTTTTTTGCGTCACCCGAAATTGGCTTGCGTGCGTTTGCATTTGATTTCATTGAGCGAAACGTCAAATCAAAATATCACGCAGAACAAAAATTGGAAATTGAGTTAGCTTCATACGCACGCCGTTCAATTTCGGTTGGTCAAATACAAGTTGTATGTGCATGAGAAATTTTTGACAGTAAATTGGCGGCGTGCGTGAATATTAGGTTAGCCTGTAACTCTAATGGGGCTACACGATGGTTCGTGCCAAGAATATATGGATCGCGATCCAAAATAAGAAATAGGCCTGACAAATTTTGTTCAATGAAGTGACCGAACAAGTGAACTAGTTCACTGAGATGAACTAGTTCTTTAGTTCATTTAGTAAGAATTCTCATGCACAGGCCTCGTACCAGATAATGGGTTCTTGTTATCTACGATAATTCAAGATTATTGTTTTTTCCTAACAAAAGATTTATACGTACACACATATTCATAAAAGATTAAAACATTTTAGCAGCGATGTTAAGACTCTATCCATAATTCACGTGATACCCTTTTCTTCAGCTTCTCATAAACATACAATCGCCGTTCGTAGTTGGCGTAATACTGTAGGTCCCTCCCCTGTGTGACAATATCAAGGCGCACGCCACAAATCGGAGGAGAAGCTCGGCCAAACACTAACATACATATGTGTAAGCGCCAATCTATTATTATTAATGGTTTTCGACGCTCTATAAAATTGTATGTGGGTTCCATTTCGTACGCGGAAAAAAAGTTCGTCTGAGTTTGGAATACTAGGGCACAAAACTTCTCTGAATTCTTAAACGCGTTAATGCAAAGCATCAGTCTCTTAATTATTTCTTAACCATTCGTGATAAGAGTATCCAATTCGCGCAACTTTATTAAAAATTGGCGCTTCTTTATGGCTGTGCATATGGGGTATTACTAAATGTCATGACTTAGAAATAAAATAGACTGATGCTTTGCATTAATGCGTTTGGGAAAATCAGGCACTTGCTATTTTTTTTTCTTTTTTCAAAACGCAATTCAAATTTAATTGACGGTTCGCAGTACATGTATATGTTTTATGATAGTTTTTCTTGTTAAACCGATACTATTTATTTTGCATTATTTGAGGATTGTATACAAACTATTTAATATATATGTATGTATTTATGTATACATGTATGTATTAATGTATATGTTTGTAAAAAAAGTGGATTACGTATTTTTATCAGGTTTATGCAGATTAGGCCAAGGTACCCATTGGGTCCCAAGCTGGAAGCACAATTGGATCCATATCGAAAACTTGCAAAATTTCGGGCGGCACAAAAGATTTGTCGATCACAACTTCAAAACCGAATTCCTTGAACCATTCGGCAGTCATAACTAGATAACCTTTTTCACCACGGTCTTCACCCCAAGAATTTTCAACGCGCAATTTAGTAACATCGCCATTTGCCTTAGTAAAAAAAAATAACAAAAATTGTGTTAATAGCGAAAACGTACATTTTAAAAACATTTCACTCACATCCAGAGAAACGGCGGTGAATAACATGGCATGCGTCATGGCTGATTCACCGAAAATAAGGCGATCCGCCTTGGACAATGGCGTCTGAATGTCAACATCAAACACTAACTTGAAGTCGTGTCTGTGAAAATATAAAAAATAAATAGTTATAAAGTATATTTAAAGCCATGGCGCAATATAATATAATTCCGCCATTATTTAAATCCACATTTATAATGTAATTTTCCAAAGCTTTCCTACTTACACACTCAAATCTTCTATGCCCTGCTTTGATGCAAAGCGTTTACTGACTTCACAACCAAACCAAACGGCTTCACCGGCTTTTAAGCTTGCAGCAACCAACTGCAGTAATTTCTCGACCGGTTGATTATTGTAAAGCACTGGGCGGCCACCCACGACATTGCCGAGGCAATCAACTGTGTATGTTTGATCGTACATACTAGATGGGCGTGGATCATTTACTAAACATACCTGTCAACAAATAAACAGTAACAAAAATAATTAAATTCCTGGGCAATGCACGCGCTCAATTTTGAATTTACCTTATCTTCCACATTAAATATTGGTTTTACATGATTTTCGTAGAACTCCAACGGCGTTATCGGTCCAATCGATTTATATGCTTTGGATTTGTCATAATACTCCCAGGTGAAACGTTCGGAGGGAATGCCCAAGCAGATGCCAACTATCTTATAGATACTACCCATCATTTCATCAATCTTTTGCGAAACCTCGTCGTCGGTAGGTGATTTATCCAAAAGATCACGTAATACTTTAGCATATTCACGCAGCTGCACATGATAATAATAATAATAATTGTTTAAAGTGTTTTCTCATTACATTCACACACTATTTACCTTGCTTTTCAATATGGCATTCATGCGCATGCTCGCCTCACAACTGTAAGTCTCTGGGAAACATTTCTTTGGCATTAAACCATGTTTGGTAATTAAATTAACTAACATATCCCATTGGCCGCCATCGGATGTTGGGTCCTTAATGTCAAATATGGCATATTCAATCTTTAGTTAGTACACTTATATGTATGAATTTATGTATCTCGGTTTACTTACGTTTAATAGGAATGACACCAAGCGCCCATCCACGACCTCATTGCGTTTCGCTGTCTTTACAATATTATTGAGGAAGTAATTGCAACGCTCAATTTTATCCCAATAGAATAGGTAGCCCTGAGAAAATTCAAATTCATCCATATTTAAACTCTTCATAAATGGCAGGCGTATGCAGTTGAGCGCAGCAAAAAGCCAACAACGGCCGGAACTTTTTTGATTAGTAACGGGTTTTCCCTCGCTTTCCACCTGTAAAGAGTAAAGTGGGGTAAATTATTTTGAAAATTTAATGTTTCACTTATAGCATTTTTTTATATGATTACAAATTTAATTGCACTCACCTTATAAGTAAATACATGATTGGTGTTTTCGAGCGATTTGCGCGACAAGCAAACATCAAATGGGTCCACACGCGAGCAGACATTCTGTGCAAGAATGTTCTTCGGTTCGCTGTAAAAGTCCTTACGCCATTTGTCCAACTTCTGTTGCGTGATGGCATTTGGGTTGTTAGCAGTGGAATTGGCTGGAAATAGAGTTGCGGCAGTTGAGTAATATATACGAGGGCCGAATAGTTTGAATTTTTTGCAAGTTAAAACGGGCGGTAAACGTTTAGACAGGCGTTGTCGTTGAATCGAGGAGGTCATTCGTAGCGCAACTGTATGGGTCACCGACCCCCGTCGCCCAGTGTACACGCATACAGTCGGCAACCCATTGGTGACAAACAGATTATTCATGCATAGCAATGCATTATTTTGAGTATAAAAATAAATCAACAAAAAAAGTATGTAATAATTAGATGTGCGTTTGGCACTGTTGAGTGATAAGAATAGAAGATTTGGAAAAGCGAACGTTATTATATGGATAATTGATTGCGTTTATCGGAAACTAAACATTTACATGCATGCATATGAATTCAAAAATATGGGCATATCCCAGTAGCGAAAACGGTCACTGGTGACATCACTTACTGTGAATCTTAAACGACATATAGCTGACAATGACACTGGTGACAATGTCATGCAGGTGTACTCCTATCAAATACTTATAACACACAATGTGTCTTGCAACAGTCACTTATAAAAAGTACATTACATGACATTGGCATTCGAATGTCATCAATGATCACTGGATGACAAATTCATGCAGAGAACATCAACGCCTACATTACCATTTGTATGAAAGTCATGAACGACTTCCATATAAATGGAGCCCAAAGTCATTGAGGACTTAACATGACCGTACAGCAAGACACTTAAGTGACTAATGCATGACATTCGCTACGGGGATGTATGTACATATAAACATATATTTTCGTATATAGGCAGTAGTTGTGTTTGTAGTTGTGTTGTCATTGAGGACTTAACATGACCGTACAGCAAGACACTTAAGTGACTAATGCATGACATTCGCTACGGGGATGTATGTACATATAAACATATATTTTCGTATATAGGCAGTAGTTGTGTTTGTAGTTGTGTTGTCATTGAGGACTTAACATGACCGTACAGCAAGACACTTAAGTGACTAATGCATGACATTCGCTACGGGGATGTATGTACATATAAACATATATTTTCGTATATAGGCAGTAGTTTGTGTTTTTTGCTATTTACATACATACAAATGTGCATAGCTATTTTATTTTCATGCTTGTATCCACAGGCTGCAGGCGAATGAACATATGGTTCAGGCCTTTAAACCGCAAGACAAAAGAGTGACACGAATTTTCAAATTTCATAACTCCAAGGTCATTTCGCTTTTGTGTTTGTTCAGGTGAATGCAAATCTAATCGTAATTCTGTGCGCAAAGCAGCAAAGTCTGTAGAATTGGCGACAGTGGCGACTTTGGCAACTGAGGAAAATTAAGAAGATTTGCTTTAAAGCAGCGCAAAATGACTTATTGGCTGCATTTCTTTATTCATTCTGAACGTTTGGAATAAACTTTTTTGTTTACTTATTCTTTAGAACGATGATATGTCAACGTATATTTCAAACGCATTCTGTTTATTCCGGCTGTGAGATGGGATTATCCGGAATGTATAAAGAAACGCAGCCATTGTGTACTTCCATTAGATGAAGTGTGGTTGTTTTTTTGTTTACTTGCATAGATGGATGTATAAAAGGTTATTCCTCAATGGATGTGTACATTGGTTACGATCCTGTACGAGTCCGAACTTGTTAAAAATTAGTCAGAATTATTCCGGAAAATAGTAGTGATGATATTCAGTCTTATCACGAGTTTGATTTTCCCCGAAGCGGTTCCCTTTTCGCTTCCGTTTATTCACTACGGGGGATGAGAAAAAAACCCGTATTTATAGCCCGATTTGGTTCATATTTAGAACGTATATTAACTACATGAAAAGGACTAATTCCAATTAAAAACTTGTTTTTACAATTAACTTATATCTGCTATGGTTCAGAAATAAAAGAGACTGATGCTTTGCAATAATGCGTTTAGGAAGACAGCATATTTCTCTTTTTCAAAGTGTACTTTCACAGTCACCCTCAGCTATACATTTCTAAAAAAAAAAAAATATTTTCTTTTTGTTTAAACGTCCGTAGTTTTGCAGTGAAAGGTACATGAATACATACTACATATGTACATACATATGTAGGTACATAAAGCAAATATTCAAATGTATGAACTAGTGTTGTGCGTAGACAACCGGCAGTAAAAGCTCGCGTCGTGTTTGTCTTAAACCTGATAAGAATAGATGCTTGCCAATATGGAATAGTTTGACTTACTACTTACTAAAAGGGCGTAACTAGAAGGGCCTCATCTCAGCAGCACATACATATTAAAGTTTCCAAAACTTGTAAAGAGTTTTTTATAACAACTTTGTTAGGCATTTATATTTGGATTTGATTTTTGGTTACTCTTTCAGTACCCCATAATCATTTAGGTTTAAGGACGACTTGAAGTTAGGTTGAGTATTGAGAATGAAAGTTCTAAAAAAACATACATATGTGTCTCTGCAATGCTGGGTCTCAACTTAACACAGCGGTTTGCTGTTGGCTGTAATAGATTAAGCATAGTCATCTTAAACTGCAACATTTGCAGAAAACTCACCTAAAAGCGCAACGAAAATCAATAAATCTTGTATGTTGTAAATGAATGTGGACATAGTAGAGTTTGCATGAGGTTGTTGGCATGTTGCGATGAGCTAGCTACGCCCCTGGCTAGGGTACATATATACATATGTATGTATACTTCTTAGAAAACAAATACGATATAATTAAGGCGTCAACCGCATTTGTGTAAGTTGTTAAAAAACAAAACGTACACCTAATCTTATCTAAATTGCATGTACTGCTCAGAGATGCAAAAAATTATCACAATAAAAAACGTATAGCTCACGTAAAGCAAGGTGTTAACGTGTTTTTGAATTCTAGATGATTTATTCCAAGTCATACAAGTATTACGAATCTAGCTTCTTTGCGCAAAAGAATATATACATACATATGTATGTACATACATATCGCTAATTTAAATTAGTAGTGAAGTAATTACTTCAATAATATCATAATAAACAAATACAATTTATTAAGTCAAGTATGCAGAAATGACCGCTATGTAAAAATGTCCAAGCTGTATCGATTACCAGTATCTCAGACACTGTTGAAGTAAATGAGCGATATGTGAATGCCTTTACTTTTGCTAAATATTTAATTATTTAAGATTATCGTTAATCTCTTCACGATCCAATGATCGAATTTAAACCGAATTGGAATAGAACCACCTGTGAGGTAACACCTTTCCTTAAAAAAATAGAAATTAATTATAGAAATCGGTTAACGTGGTCCAAAGTTATGCGGTTACATACATACAAAAAAAATATTCAGATGAATTGATAACCTACCTACTCTCTGTGCTGACTGTCAGCTGAGAGCTTCGAAATTTGAAATTGTAATCAAGGAATATATGTAAGCACATATAAAAGCGTTCTTAGAGGTGCTGATATCTTTCAATATTGGAATCTAGTATTCCCTAAAGTTGCTTAAAGCAGGTCCTGCAAATTATCTTTCTGCAGCACATACTAGCGGCCATAGAACGAACTCACTTGGCGAAAACACAAACAAATTGTTGTATTTCAGTGATAAAATCAGGGCGGCCGCAGTGGCTGACTGGTTGGAGGTGCTTACTACCACTCCGTAGGACCTAGGTTCGAAAGCAGGGTGCGTACAATTTCTAGCAGCGATAGCCCCTCGGAAGGGAATTGCAAACCTCTGGTCGTATTGCCATGAAAAAATCATAAAACTAGTTTGGCTTTCGCAGGCGGCGTAAAACTTTAGGTCCCTCCATTTTTGTTACAACATCGAGATGCACACCACAAATTTGGCCAAAGGCCTAGCAAAAGGGTATGCGCGAAAATATTATTATGTATATTGCACAGAACCTGTGCCTTTTTTATCGTTTTTACGCATTTTATATTTCATGTGCGCTTAAAAGGTCAAGATGGGGTTTATTTTTTGAAAAAAATCGATTTACTTAATTTCAAAGTAACTCATCGGCTTCGGCTTCAGTAATCGGCCGATTGTTAGATCAAACCCGAAAGTTCGGTTCGGCTTCTTCCGAAAAATCTACCCTCGGTTGGTCTCTACTTATATGTATTTCGAACATATGCTCATGAATAAGTCATTTAAATTAGAACTCAATTCTTTAAGATCTTGAGAATTCTAGAATATTGAGAATCTTATATGATGGCACTAGAAAACATTCTCATCCTACATACTTACATAATTGCAGCAAAATTATTTTTAATTACATAATTCCAAATTCTTTTCTACCGAAAAATGAAACGTTCTCTTTGCCCTCTACGCACAAACACTAAGGAGAGGGCGATGAGAAGGCAACATTTTTTGTAGAAACGAAGACATCAAGCTACGAAAGTTGATTAAAAAATATAAAAATTGCATAAGCAATAGTTAAAATGTATTCATATTGCAAAACACGAGTAATTAGAAATAAATATGGGCAGTGTTGTTGAATAAATGAATCGCCTACAATTCCAGTTTATATATCGCACACCGGCTTCAAAAGAGTCACAACTCAAAATAATACGTTCAGTCAGAAAATGCGTAAAACTATTTCGTAGCACATGCCAATCATATGGGCAAGGACGACTTTACCTTAGGTTTTTTTTTTAACAAATTATAACAAAAATTTGCTCCAGCTTTTGCTGAAAGGTAAATAAGAGCTCTGTGTACATTTTTAGCGCACAATTTCGAAAATTCCAAATTTTGAGTTGTGTCTCTTTTGAAGACGGTGTGCGATATGTACATATGTATGATTCCTTAACTTTTCGAGTGCAAGTAAATCAAAACTCGGACGGACTGGGACTATATGAGTTTATTTAGCGAAAATAGCCAGCTTATTGCCTGGATTATAATGGAAGTAACGGAACGGAGTGAACTGTCACTTAATTATCTATTGTATGGGCAATGAATTCAAACGATTATAATGCACTTGAACGCAATGTAAAACGGAAGCATCTAAAATCAATAGATCCTTACGAATTCGCCGCAATTTGTTACGATCCGCCCCGTGCATTACAACCAAGGCATATGCCCTCTTTCAAAATTAATATTCCAAAGTTAGTCTGTTCGTTATGAAAAAACACGTCACCTTGCAAACAAAAATAAGTCAACAGCCGAGAGAAGATTCGTACCATTGTGCGACATTTATATACCAAACAATAAAACCCAAAAAATCATCGAAAAGGACACTTAAGAATTCTGAACTGCATATATAGTATGTATGTATATATGTTCATACTTATGGATGTAGTATGTACGTATGCGATTGAGATACATTGGAGTAACAGGAGGAAAAGTTGTTTGAGGATCGGTAAATATAACATAATTGTATGCATAACTGGTGTGTTTCCATGGCAGTGGATATGACCATATTAGACTACCGATGGTAGATGCAATCTAAAACTAAGAAACAATTATGTACATATGTACATATGTAACTATGCAAATTGTGAAACAAAATATCAACATAAACAAAAAATGCTGTGATTAATTCACTTGCAGCGACAAATTCGCGACGCAATGGCTGTTAGTACCATTGCCCAGATGTGACCAAGTTGCCGTTTCCACTATCGCTTGAGCTTGGTTTTACATACAAGCATATAAATATACTTATAAATATGACTGCCCAGTGCAACCGTTACAAACCAAAACCAGTTTTTTTAATTTGCACGTGAACACCAGAAAAGCAAAGCAACAGGCAAACAAACGAATAGAGCGAAGTCGGGCAGTAGCGTGCTGCTAAGCCGAGATCGCGCTGCTATAATGGAAGTAGTCACAGCTAAAGCAACAAAAACATACATATGTATGCATATATACATTTGAAAACAAAAGTGAGTAAACAAAGGGTTTCGAAAATATGAAAGCATTGTGTATACATATTGCTTGGATGTGGTTGCACCCTAGCCGGTTGGATATGAAGTTATGCGCAGTGTGCCAACAAGCGGGGGGTGTGGCTGCTAAGTAAAGAGGCTAGCAGGCAACCAGTTTCCGATGCTTGGCTAGCTGAAAATTGGCTCTTCAATACGAGTTACCAACAACAGCGTCGCACCGCTGCTATAGTCCGATGTCGTCGTCAACGTTGTTTGTCAAGTCATCTAAGCAAAGCAGTATAGCGCAGAACCAGAAGAAATTCATAAAAAAAATAGATACTGCGGAGGAAAAAGAAAGGAAATACGGCGCAGCATTCGACGGAAGATACGTAAACCATATGTATGTATGCAGTTCAATTGACGGAGCTTCGGAGAAATTTTACTTTCATTTCCGAACTTTGGTACCTTCCTTTTTTGTACGAGTTTTTGACCATTTTTTGGTTTCGTATTGAGGCGCCATGAACAAGAAATGCGATGTCTTCATTTCTTTCTTCCGTTTAATGTAGTATGTGTATATGATTTCATAATGCATTTAATAAAAGCACACAATTTTACTTACACATTTTCCTTAAGTTTGGATGTATACTAAACTTTTCAACTTGTTTCAAGAATCGTGTTGTAACGGTGAAGTGGTAAATGCTTTTTTTTAATTAATTTTCGGGCTAACACCAAATGGGGACTACAAATTAAATGAACAAAA